CTACTAGGAAAGCAAAGGACATAGATTATCAGTTTTTAGGGGGACTTGTTTTTTAACTTTTGGATGGTAAAACTAAATCACTGCCAAGTAATATCTTACACATTCTAAACATGGAAGACATGTTTGTCAAACTCAGTTATCTTTGACTTTCTTAACACTTGCAATGGATGTAAATTTGTGTTTTAGCAATTATATATGAGAAGAAATAAACCAAACAAGAATTATATTTGTCGCTCTTGATATGCAAACAAAGAGAAATGGGATGATGCTTAGACTTGGCCAAATGTAATGATTCTTAATAGGGTAACCAAAGCAAAACTTACTATTGATATGTCCTGTTTTTCTTTTGAGGATCATGAATTTTCCAAGAATTTCATTCGTGAGAGATCTAAGAATAATGAATTAGCTACTACCCTTCATATTTTTTCAAACCCCTGTTTCTTTTCTCCGAGGATAAAAATAGTTAATCTTCACAACCCAGCACAAGTTATTATCTTAGCAAGAACTAAAAAATCAAAACTCGAATATAATTGCTGAGCTGTATAAAAAATAAGTCTATCTAGGTAGAATATTCAGAAATATTTATCCTAAAACAACAATGATCAATAAGATATCTTATAATGTCATTCAAGTTATGAATATTACTTTCATTTATTTTTTTACACTACTTTGCATGAATTCAAAGTAAATATTACTAAAGTTTAAATAATTATTTCTCGAGATAGAAGAATAGATTTATAAAGAAATTAAACCTGTGCTGAAATTTCTTGTCCAAAACTATAAAAGGATGTTCAATGCTTAACATATCTAGCCACTAATAGTGCCTTTGAGTGTCATAGCAAACTTTTTAAGAATTCCATAGAGACAAATAAGAGATTCAAGGAACTCGTAGTGAAAAATGATAAGTAGCCTCACTTATTTACAAGATACAACCATTATTTTTATGGGATTCTCTTATAACTTTAATATAAGTAATATATGAGATTTTCCAGCACTCTACATTTATGAGAAATTGATGGTGAAAAGTTCAAGGGTTCAAATTTATAATCTTTAAGTAACTCATCAAGTGATTAAAAAATATTTTAAACCAGGTTTGAGAACAAATATTCGAGTTATATAACAACCTAATATAAAAAATCTATGTCGATCACGTTCAATTCTCTTTTTACAAAGATGGGAGGAATTCAATCATAATGATTTTCATAACGTATATGAAGGTATGGTAAAGCTTGCATATATTTTTTATGCATGAAATTGCAATCTTAATTATGGTGAAATAAGAGATATGAAGTTTAAAATTCATTTTAAAAGAGTTTAGTGTATATTGTGATATCTTATTTTCCCACTCAGCTTCTTTTATGTTACTTTTATAGTTAAATTCATTTTAATAAAACATTACTTTCAATTCCAGATTATGTTAGATTTTAATTTTATTTTTATAATGCGAAACAATAATCATTTACATTACCTTTTTAAACAAATATCATTTCAAGCTACCCTTCAACTTTGTTCTTGCTATTTCATTTTTTTGCTTTATAACATCATCTAATTTTAGTGTTTGAACACTTGCCTAATTATTATATAATTGCAGGAAGTATAGTTTCTCAATGTACTGCATGCAACATAAAATGTTGATGACAAGTTTATTATAAGTCATTACACAAAAGATATAGGCTTGAATTTCCTGTTGTATGCGGTGCAATAAGAAACTGTACTTATTGCAATCATTTAATGATAAAGCAAGTATCCCAAAACTGAAATGAAATGATGTTGTAGAGAAAAATAATAAAATAACAAGAACAGGGTTAAAGAGTAGCTTGAAATGATATTTATCTAACAAGACAGCACCAAAGATCAATATTTTGCATTATAAAAATCAAATTAAAAACTACCATAACCTAGAATTAAAAGTAATGTTTTATTAAAATGAATTTGATTACAAAAGTAACACTAGAGAAATTGAGTTGAAAAATAAAAGAGACCACAACATGCACCAAACACTCTTAATTACCAACAGACTAATTAGCCTTTTTAATGTTTAATGGTTAGTTCAACCTTATTATAAAATGAATTTTAAATCTCATATCTCTCATTTCATCATAATCAAGATTGCAATTCCATACATAAAAAAATACACATAGACTTTTATTATATCTTCATATACGTCATCAAAATCAATATGATTGAACTCCTCTCATTTTTGTAGAAAAAGAATTGCACGCGACTAATTCTAAAGAGTATTTCTATTAGGATGTTATATAACTCGAATACTTGTTCTCAAACTTGGTCAAAAATATTTTCTAATTACTTGATGAGGCACTTCAGGATCATAAATTCGAATACTTGCATCTTTCACCACCAATTTCTCATAAATATAGAGTGTTGAGGAATCTCGAATATTACTTGTATTCTGTTTACAAGATAATCTCATAACAACAATGGTTGTATCTTATAAATAAGTGAGGGTGCGTATCATTTTTTTCACTACGAGTTCCTTGAATCTCTTATTCATTTTTATTGTATTCTTAAAAAGTTTGATAAGACACTTAAAAACACGATGATCAACTAGATATGCTGAGTCTTGCACATCCCTTTACAATTTTAAACAAGAAATTTCAGCACTAAATTAATTTCTTTACAAATCTATTATTCTATCTCGAAAGATAATTCTTTGAACTTTAGTAATATCTACTTTGAATTCATGTAAAGTAGTGTAAAAAAAATAAATGGAAGCAATATTCATAACTTGAATGATATTACAAGATACCTTATTGATCATCACTGTTTGAGGAGAAATATTTTTGAATATTTTACCTAGAAAAGACTTTTTTTTCATTCAGCTCAGCAATTATATTTAAGTTTTGATTTTTTAGTTCTCGCTGCGATAATAACTTGAGTTGGGTTGTGAAGATTAGCTATTTTTATCCTCGGAGAAACAAAACAAGGGTTTGAAAACATGTGAAGGGTGGTAGCTAGGTCATTGTTCTCAAAACTCTCATGAATGAAATTCTTGAAAAATCCATGATCCTCGTGAGGAAAACAGGACATCAACAATAAATTTTGCTTTGGTTACCCTATTAAGAATCATTCCATTTGGCAAAGTCTAAGCATCCTCTTATTTCTCTTCGTTTGTATATCAGGAGCAATAAATACAATTCTTGTTTGATTTATTTCTTCTCATATGTAATTGCTAAAACACAAATTTACATTCCTTGCAAGTGTTTAGAAAATCTAAGATAACATGGGTTTGACAAACATGTCCTCCATGTTTGCAAGTGTTTAGAATGTGTAAGATATCACTTGGCAATGATTTAGTTTTACCATCCAAAAGTTCAAAAACAAGTCTCCCCAAAAGCCGATAATTTATGTCTTTTGCTTCTCAAGTAGCTGTAGGTTGAAAAACAATCTTTCATAACTTTACATCACCATCAAGAAACACAATGTTACTTTTATTAAATATTTTTGTGCAACATCCATTTTATCTATATAAATCATGGATAAATGACCATTTTTTTAATTATTATTCTATAATCTTGAGAGATATACATGTCGAATACATCTAGATATCTTCAATCATGAAAACTTATGACATTATATATTTTATGTTTTTTTAGATTGCATCCAATCATCAAGTGTCTTTTCAAAGCACTGATATACTGTTTTTCTATTCTTAAAATCCAAAACGTGCATTCTTAACAAATTCTTATAGCGGAAATTCATCAAATCAACTCACCGTGAGTTGATCTTTGAGGAGGTGTTGAGACAACAATGATTTTGGTACGAGTGTCTGTCAGCTTCCCCTTCATGTCAGGTTTTTATGCTTTAAGTTCATGCTTATCTAAAAACTCAAATCATAAAAGTTAGATAGCATGTGTGTTGGAAAACACAATAAAAAACAATTATTATTTGATTATGCTTCCAACAAATTTCAGGCAAACTCATACAAAAATTAAGTAAAGTGCCACCAAAGACATCTTTCCACTCCAAAGAACCACAGGGTTGTGCCTTTGCAAGTTTAAAGCAAACATATACAACATTTCCTGACTTATATCCCAATTCTTAATCACTTCGTGCCCTGCAAACATACCATATAGCAACTACAATCTTCAAAAGAAAATCCACACATAAAGCTTCTTGATTGCTTCCATATATTTCCCTCAAATAACTATAGCAGACATCTAGAAGCCACCAAACTAATTAAAAACAGTTTAACTCAGGCTAGCATATGATTGCAACATGACTCAATTAATTATAGAGGTCAAGTCTATCTTCCAGGACATGTAAGAATCTAAAAAATGCAACCTTAGAACTTGGTTGAAATCACCCAAAAAAAAAAGGAAAGAAAGAGAAAAGGACCCATTTTTTGTCATCCAAACCCTAGAAAAAAATTAATCAGGATAAAATTAAACAAAATTAATTCAGTTAACATCATGCTTCAAAATCTGTAGTAAACAGCTGAACCCCCAATCCTCTAGCATAACCTCAACCAATTGTTAAGCCCAAGTGACAAAAGTATGAGCCCCAAATCCTGCAGGGGATTACTGCCTATTGTATAATTCAGAAAATTGTATCACCTACTTGACAAGTAATCTTATTCTTAATTTTCCTTATCAAAAAACCATTGAAAAACCATAAACATTATTCCAGATCTGGCATCAATTTAGATGCCAGAGTGTATGACAGTTGCAATCCCTAATCAAGATCTAGGCTCTTTTTCATAGCCTCGTAAACCATATATGTTATGCTTACTGCTGGCACAACCCTCGAAGATTTGGAAAAATTCCTTGTAAAAGCCATTATAACCTTCATTCTGAAATGTCCTCCAAAATACATCGGACATCCCTTTGTAAGGAGCAGCATTGCTAGTAGGTTGAGCTTGCATTCTGATAAGAAAAAACAGAAAGCACTATAAATATTACATGATTTGAAGACTAGTTGAGACGGAAAGGGAGAATAGATGGAAAACTCCAGAGTGAAAAAGAGCAAGGCGCTATGGCTACCTGAAGATGAGCAACGCGCTATGGCAACTTGGCAAGTTTCCGGAGGGAAGCTCTGAAGCTCTTTATTTTCTTTAGTAATTGAACATATCAAGCAGGCATGAAATCATATTCATACTTCAGATTGCCTTCTCTGCTATGCCGCACAATATATACCCATTCTTGCCACAGGATTGGTTGCCTTATATGATGTGTGGTCAGTTGGCATTGAGATAAGTGGTTGCTTGGACAGTAGCTAATGTCTTGAAAAAATTGGCTTTCCACTGTTGATGGAAGAAGTTTGAAAGTTCGCAACTTGCATTTCCACTACAGTTGTCTTTCTTTTACAGGGTGACTGTCCCGGGTAACGCCACCGATAATTGCATATGTATGTTTTGATTAGAAAAGTCATCCAATTGTAAGAGCACCCACATATTTGTTCCCATTCAAGAATTTCTAGCTTAACAGCCAGCTGTCTCCGTGTATCACAAGCTGATGGTCATTTTTGCAGATATAAAATTCCCTTCCAAAACAGCTAATGCAGATGTTGCAAGTACGTGTTCGAATTCTGAAAGTTCAGGCATCTAGCTCAGTTCACTTTGATGTTCTCTTATTCCATTTAAAACCAAATATATCTTATCACTTTCAGAATGCAATCTATCCCCTGCGATAAACTCACGTGCAACGCCATCCAATTGAATCAAGCTAAAACCAGCAATCTTCGTTACCACCCTATTACTGCTCAATGATCTCCTGATATTCATTACATCTTCCCATCGTTCTGCATTAGCATAAACATTAGCCAAAATTGAATAAACCCCACCATCATCGGGTTTCAACTCCATCAAGTGCTTCGCTGCTTTCTCTGCAATCTCAACATCCCCGTGAATTCGACATCCTCCCAGCAAACCACTCCACACAGACATATCATCTCCTCTGGGCATATCCTGTATCATTTCCATCACTTTTTTAATCAACCCAGCCCGCCCAAGCAAATCAGCCATACACCCGTAATGCTTTGGCTCTCGAGGGACTCCATAAACAGATTCCATCTCATCAAAAAGCTTCCTTGCTTCATCTACGAGACCACTATGACTGCACCCTACCGAAACTCCTAAAATGCTAATCCCATCTGGTTTTACCCCAGCCTCTATCATTCGCGAGAAGTACTCCAACAATAACTCACCATACCCATGCATTGCAAGGCCAACAAGCATTGCATTCCAAGTAAACAGATTTTTGTCTGAACTCGAGTCAAATATCTTTAAAGCAACGTCAACGCACCCGCATTTCGCATAGAAATCAACCAACCCAGTTGACAAAAAGGTATCCACTTTCATCGCGTTCCTTTCAATATAATCATGAATTTTCTTTCCCTTTTCAAGTTCTCCTAGCTGTGCACAAGCAGAAAGCGTTGAGACCAATGCAACGTTATCAAGCCTAATCTCTAAATCCACCATAAAATCAAACAATTCAATAGCCTCCTCACAATAATCTCCTTTTGCACACCCAGCTATAATCGTATTCCAAGAAACAGAATCCCTCACAGGCATTAAATCAAACAACTCCTTAGCTTTCACAACATCACCAGCCTTAACGAACCCATCAATCAACACATTAAAAGAAACCACATCTCGTTGAGGACTTTCATCGAATACCTTCCAAGCATCATTTGACATATCAGAAACCATATAACCATGAATAAGAGAATTCATAACATACAAATCCGACAGGAACCCAAATTTCAGAACTTGAGAATGAAGACAACGCGCTAAAAAAACCCCGCCAAGCTGCGCGCAGGCTTTGAGGGTAAAAGGGAAAGAATGAGAATCAAGAGGGACAGAAAGACGGCGCATTTGAGTAAAGAAACGGAGGGCAGGGATAGGGAGAGACAGGAGAGTGTGGACTCTAATGATAGTATTGTAACAAAATGTAGATGGGTTTTGTATAGAATTGAATATAGATTTTGCGTAGTGTAGTAGAGAAGTGGAGGATTTGGCTTTGGCATTGGCTTTGGTGGTGAGAGTGTAGAGGAATTTGGTTAAAAGGGAATGAGAAGAGTGGAAAGAAAGTGGTGTGTTTGTGATGGTGTAAGCATGGAGTTGGTGGAGCTGTGAGATTGTTTTGCATTGTTTGATTAATTTGATGATTATTGAGTGATAATTTTGTGGTGTTATGTGGTTGCTGCTGCTGCTGATTAACATTCAGTTTCTAGAGTGTTGAGAATTGGTCTCTTCTTCTCACTGCCCCTTGCACTCTGTTTTTAGTTTTTACATGCAAAAAATAGGCAAATAGGCTACGCTTGATGGTATGGCAGTCGGCATGCATACGCGTAGAAAAAGAGAAAGAACGTGAACGGCAGGATTCGAACCTGCGCGGGCAGAGCCCACATGATTTCTAGTCATGCCCGATAACCACTCCGGCACGTCCACCTTTCCGTACGAGCCTTGAAATTGCAAATTTTATTTTAACTATTGGGCCTCAGAGGAAGGCCTAAGTGGACAGGATACTGTAAGAAAGCAAATACTTTCTGGGATTCATTTCGCCAGTCCCTTGTAACACTTTCCATTTTGGGAGTGGTCCAGGGAAAAAGGCATAGAGCGACCACAGTCTATCTACATTTATGGTTTTTTGACGCATCTGCAAGCACGTAATAGGTCAGTCAGCTATTATGTCTACATGTTAGGCCCTCTAAAGAGGAGAAATTTTTGTCCAGCTCGTGTCTATTTCGACAGGTCCAATCAAGGTATAATCGATGCAGTAGGGTCACTGTTGTTCACGTATATGAAGCAGAAATCTTTCCATTTCAGTATCATCATAATATTTTCTCATTTGTCTGAAAGGGGAAAAGGAAGCTATAAGTTGCAGAAAAGGCCATCTTACTTGTACATAAAAAGAAGAGCTTATCCATGCTCTCCTCAATCCAAGGGTACTGTCGATTGTTTGAAAGAGGCAAAGAGAAGAAACATATTAAAATATATCCACACTCATTACCACTTCTCATCAGTATTAGCTTTTGTCTTTTTGACTATTCTCCATGCACAGTGTTTCCACATTTAGCTTCAAAACTTCTCCTACTTGACATGGATTAGTGCTATTTGACGCACAGATTCTCACATCCAAATACAAAAATGGGGTAATAAGTGGACGGTGCAAGGCCCTTCTTCCTTGTAAAAAGCAGAGGTATATTGTCTATTTTGTTGCCATGAACAACTTTAACCACCTTTCATTTATTTACAATTTTCTTCCATCTTTGATGGCTTAGCCCTACACCTGTCTTCTAACTTTTTCTCTGGCACTCTGCAACTTATTATCCATCTCTCTGTCTTTTCTCCACGTGGAATCCCTCACCCAATTGAAAGAGCAGTGTAATCTACATAAAAGAAGAATAATGAGATGGTCCTTAGTGGGATAAGCATGTCTCATTTACAGAATGATGCCTCGTGGGACCGGTTTTTCAAGTTTTAATTTTCTTTGTTGATATGTTCTCTTTGGTTTTATGTTCGGAAATTTAGGTAAAGTATGGATTAAAGAAAGATTTAAGTGTGTTTACTTTCACTGTTGTTTCTTGGGTCCAAGAGGCTTATATACTGGGAATGTTAGATAGACCGAACCAAGGCAAAATCCAAAGTCCTCGGGTTTCTTTCTGTCTGAACTAATTGCTTTCCAGCACCAAACCATGCCGAGAAAGAAGAGGAAGAAGATGGTGCTAAGAATCCCAAGTGTTGGATAATGTAACTACCCTCTTCTTCCTTCACTGGATGCAAGGGGACACAAGGCAAGTCATCGAGGCGAAGGGAAGGTCATGCCTTTCTTCTGGGTTTTCTTAGTTCTTTTGTGTTCATGCTATCCTTGGCATAAACTGCTTATGTTTTCAACCAAGATTCCTGTACTGGTAGGTTAAAGTTGTGCCAAGCTGTTCTTGTTATTGTAAAATGTGACTCCTTCCATGATGCTAGTATGAGTTTTCTACGTACTTGAAGCTATTATCAGTTTCTTTCTGCTTTAATCAGATGCACAAAATCTTTGAGTTCTGTAGATTCACCACAGATTCCCTTCTTGTTCAATCACAAAACAATCTCCAGCTCTGACCATAGCGAATATGGCAACAGAGTAAATCCCTCGTATCCATCGAGACATGAAAATACTCCCCTCCTTTGATTTCCTGTAATTCAAACTTCGCTGGTTCACACACAGAAAAGCACATAAGGGGCATGGAATTGAAGGGCATGTTAAGAAATGAACAGCTCAATCCTCGGGCATGAATAATCAGCCTACAGACTCAATAACACAAGGGCATCACCAGTACCGGATCACCTGCCCTAACAAGGACACGTTGATCAAGCAATGGAGTAGAAACCAGCCTTGTTGCACCTTGAGTTAGATTAAAAAAAAAATTAATATAAAAAAATCCAAGAATTATTAACTTATTTTTAAAAAAATTAATAATAATTATGAACTTAGAATTTATATTGGATAACATGTTTTTTTTATTATCAATACAGCTATATATTTTATGGTATTTTTTAAAATATTATGATGTTAATATATTAGATTGAATCAAGTTATATAATCATAATAATTTTTATAAAAAATAAATTAAAATTAATTATAAAAATTAATTCCTAATCAATATATTATTAAAGGATAAAATAAAAAAAAATTCAATAACTTAGGTAATGTGGTTAGGATAATCTAATAAAAAATAAAAAAATTTATAAAACTTAATTTTCAATCAAATCAATGTTAAAAGATGAAATAAAAAAACAAATCAATTAAAAAAATCAATTAAAGTCAACTTGAACTAATATGTCAAACGAGCGTCCTATCATGAAATTAAAATAACCTCATAAAAAATAAAAAAAATTATGACACTTTATTTCTAATAAATCCAAAGTTAAAAGTTGAAATCAAGAAAAAAAAATTCATGAGACCAAGATACTCCACAAAAAAAGATAGTTTTAAATAGAAAATTGTAAAACTCAATTTTTAAATAAACTAATATTAAATGATAAAATTAAAAAAAAAACTATTTTTTAAAAAAAATTTGAGTTGTTAAAGAGTAAAATTGAACAAAAATATTTAATTAAAAGAGGACAAAAAAATGAATCAATTCACAATTTAACATGGCAAACTCATAACCAAGTTATGAAATCGATATAACCTTGTAGAAAGCAAACAAAAAAAATAAAAAAACTCAATTAAAAAGGAATCCTGAAAAGACAAACATACTCAACTCGAATCAATCTATTAAACTTGTAAATTGGATCATGAGATCAAGAAAATTTATAAAAAGCAAATGTAAAAAAATTATAAAATTCAATTTTCAACTAACTTAGTATTGAAGGATGAAATTGAAAAAAAATATAAAAAATAATAGAAAAATAACTGAGGTTAACGTGTTAAACCTGCAACTTGGATTAAGAGATCAAAGTAAATTTATAGAAAGTAAATCGAAATAAATTATAAAATCTAATTAAAAAAACAAAAAATAAATAGAATAAAATTAAAACTTGCCAAACTTATAAAAAAATTATAAAATTGAGATAATTTATAAAAAATAAATTAAAAAAATTATGAATTACAATTTATTATGACCCCACTATTAAATGATAAAAAAAACTACTTAGAAAAAGAAACAGAACAGGCACTCGTAATCGTCCCTAACCTCTATCTCTAACCTATTCCCTTTCCTCTGTCCTTTTACCCTTTGAACAGCAAGCCGAAACTGGATTACATTTCAATAGAGAAAGCTATCAATAGTCACATTATGACGGGAACAGATGGAAAGTTCGCCCTCCAGTTCTATTCCTTTGGATGAGACGACGCTGAGCAATTGATAAAGAGCAAGGGATGCTAGCACTCTTTTACTCATATTCCTTGCTTCAGTTGGTTCAGGAAGCTTTGACATCGAGATGCATTACGATAGCTATAGCTAGGCCGAGTGGGATTCTCTATCGGATGGTTATTCATCAAGTGGATCCTTTGCCCCTTATCTCAGTAGCTGGGAAGGCAGGTTCTTAGCTTCAACTAGTTCAGTTTGAGTTCAGGAGTAGTTGCATTGTTAGTGGGTAGAAAATCAGTAATGCTTTAATTTATTTGTTCATTTTCAAAGAATCCTTGTTTGTGTTCCTTTATCTTTCTAAACCGCTCTCGCTAGCAAGGAATCTAGCTCAGACCATTATTAAAAAAATAACTGAGTCCACTATTTAATTTGTTATACTCATGACCTAAAACACGATATTAGGATAAATTTATGTTCAGCATCAATACCTCCTAAAATCCTAGCGATCAACCCTTCCATCACAATTTGCATCACAAACTTCCAACAACTCTTTGGCATATTTATACCCAGCAGGAATTTGGAGCCCCGACAAGCCGGCTTTAATCTACGCATAATCTAAATAACCCAACTTAGCTGCATGAAAAAAACTGAATAAACTTCTAATCCTAGCATCCCTCTCTTCTTTCGTTTCTCTCAATGCCAGTAGCACATGATCTATGGATACTGGGCCTGGTCTTTTAACCGGGTTGCAACAATCGGTTTGATTAATTTAAAAAAACAAAAAAAATATTATTTATATTTATGTGAACAATGCAAATAAAATCAATTAATTGCATTAATTTTTTGAAAAAAAATAAATTTTTTACACTGATTTTTCTAAAAAAAATTCAACAAAATAAACTGTTTACTTTAGTAAAATAGAGCCATGCTCCGTTGTTGTGGTTCTTCCCACATGAAAAGCAGCAAAATGCTGCTTCTCAAAACCTGTGACATAATCTTTAATTTTTGTGGAATTTATCAATAAAATATAATTTTTTTAATCAAGCATGTATTTAAAAAATTCAATAATTTTTTTTTTTAGTATTTTATGTTGCTATGATTAATGTTTGTGCGAGATGACTTGGTGAAGGAGCATAAAGCTTGACAGTTAGCTACGAAAAGAACAATTAATATGAATCATAAGCGTTGACATTGACAAAAAGGTTCTAGAATATAGAGTAGCTATCAGGTTTAAAAACAGAGGCTCGGCGGGAAAACATCATTTGAACAAGACAAAAAAAAACATGAAATATAGATTTAAAAAATGAAGATGAGCTGGGGAAAAAGCCATAAACTTGATCAAACAATGTCTAGCTTAACAGGGAGCACTAACTTAATCTTAGATTTAAAATCAGATTTCCAGGTCGCAAGGCGAATAGCAATACTACAGGGCATGCTAGGAATTGTAGTTATAGTTGTATTTAAAATATTTTTTATTTAAAAATATATTAAAATGATATTTTTTTTATTTTTTAAAAATATTTTTGAAATCAGAATATTAGAATGATAAAAAAACATAAAAAATAATTTTTTTAAAAACACGAGTTAACTAGCCTTAGATCTTTTTTTTTTTAGATTAACGTGAGTGTCTGAACTAGCTTGCGTGCATTACAACTAATCTCATGGGTCCTGAAGTTAACGACCATGTAAACCTCCAATGACTATCATATAAACAATCAAGGATTCGAACCTGAAACTATAAAGGAAACAAACCTTTTGATCTCAAGTTTTTACCACTTGACCACTACCTAAATAATTTTTTATATCTTAGTTTTGTTCTTACGTGTTGCATGAATAAAAAATGAGAAGCATGATTTTCGCAAAGAAGTTACAATTAATATTTAAATTCCCAAAGGCATGATACTGCTTGGGAAGACCAGAAATTCTCATGTAAAAATAAACATCAGCTCAACGTATTATAAAATCCTTTCCTGAAGACTTAATAACCGATGCAAGATTGTTTTCTTGCTAATTGCCTGTCCTTCCACATGAAAGGCGTCTGTCTAAGCTCTTGGTACTAAGTTTTGGATTTACACTTACAACAAATATTTTTATTTCGAGATTTTCTTTTCATATGCAGTGAACTTTGATGAATAAGAGAAATTGTCAGGAAATTAGCCTCTTCCAAATGGTGTGGGAACGACGGCAAAGGAGCATCCATATGGGAAGCGTCCTTCAAGAACATTATTTGCTCGGAATATCAATAGTAATGCGGACGGCATTGAATTGACATCTCTCTTCGAGGAATTTTTATAATTGACATCAAAATTATTAAGAGGTTATGTTTGTTATTGAAAAGTAATTTTTAAGAAATTATTTTTTAAATTTTTTTATATTTATTTATTATTAAAAGAAAAGGTAGTCAATGAAAATTTTTTTTAGTTAAACAAAAATTTAACTTGGTTTTCAGGAGAGTATTTTCTTTAAAAATTTAGATGAAAAATATTTTCT